TCTCTATTATGCTTTTGTATTTAAAAACACAAATGACTTGCATAATCTTTAAATTATATACTTACAAATCTCTGCATATTATATTAATTATGCATGTATTATATAAATTATATAATGGCTAACAACTAATTGAAAAATCAGCCCAAACAAGAATCAAAACTGAATACTTAAACAAGAACAGAAACAGTTATATAGCTGATACCGTAAAGCACAGTAGAGAAAATGAAATATAGGTATATTAAATATTCTCTAAAGTGAACATTAATCATCATTCAATCTGAGTCAGGAAATTTCCTCAATGTTATTCCCACAGACTATTCTCAAATGACATGGTATCCAGATGTATCTGCCAGCAGGAATTAGTTGTAAAATATATCTCTCAATAATTGTATAAAATGACTTTGTTATATGGAATTATTTGATTCTACCCACTTAAATGTTGAAGAATGACAAAGACAATGATGCTTATTTTGTCACAGTTAACAGTAACTCTTTTATCCTGACTGCAGTTGGACAACACATTACATCCTCAATAATTCAATGATTCAACAAATATTTACCAAGTTGATAGACCAAAATTAAATAGAATAAAATATGGTATCGCCACCTCTGGGGATTCTTATCCGCTGGCTTTGTACATTGGAAAAGGGAAGAGTAGCAAGCACATAATTTGCTTAGAAATACATTTAAAATAAATGGAAGAAGACTATACTATATGTATACCTCTGCCTACCTATCTCCCACAGTGGCATTGTACTTCAGATTTTGTGGGTGTGTGATTATCATAGTATTTGGGCTTGCTGGTATAATTTCAGTGCCCAGAACATGGTACACATTAATATAAACTTAGCTTATATATAACTACAAGATGAATCGATGACAAATAATTACATATTTATGTACTCAATGGTTTATGTGAACAACTACCAATTCCTTTCTGAAGCATGCCCTGCTGTATTTTAGTTTGAATGGATGTTGTCATATTCTCATAGATATTGTAGAGTTGAGAGTTGACTACTGACAATGGGATGAAGGGATAGCTGGGGTTGGATACACAAGGAGGGTTAATCATTTATTTTCTCCAGGACACACAAGACTAAAACTCAACAAAAACAAATTCCACTACTTTCTGGTAATGACACTATGAGATGGAATGCTGAGATTTGCTAGAAGCTAAGGTCCTAGCCAAATGGAAGAAGCCAACTTTAGAAAATAAGGCTGATGTGCAGGGAGAAATAAAAGTGAGAGCATCTTGGACATGTCCATTGCTTCTTTGCAGGTGTTATTTTGGACCTGCCAATCTCCTTTACTCGCTTACAGTTATATAAGTCTTCCAATAAATTATTTTCATTAAATTAGATACTACATACTCAAGACCACTGCATCTGTTATACTAATTATTAAGTCCACGGTTGGTTCCTTTCATGGGAGATTTTTTAAAGGTCTGGGTTTTAGGCCCCACATAGAGATAATGATAATGATAATAATAATAATAACAATAATAATAAATGATTCTAGGTTCAATGTTAATTTTTCTGTTTCCTTTTAAAGACAAATAGAAGCATAGCCATTACTAAAACCTCTTTATCACTGCCAACTCAAATCCTAAGCAAACTAAAACGTTGAGAATGTGGAGTGTACCCCTTTGTTAAATATATTTTGATCTATGTAAAGAAATATCTAAAAATTTAAATAATTTCATAATATTAGCAGCTCACTATCAAAAAGCAATAAATAATTCTAATAGTAAAAGATCTTTACCTAGAATTCAAATGTGATGAGTAATAGCTGAAGAAATTCCTAATTCCTAGGCTTCAGAAAGGGGACTAACATTTTAAAAATATGAAACAGGTGCCCTACGATTTTAGAAATATGATACAAAGACTTTCTCCAGATTACTGTGTCCCCATTTCTAACTGAAGTCATGCATAAAAATCTACCATCATGCTTTGTACTAAAAACCAACTCAATGTTCCCCCACCCCAATTTGTTGCGCTTAAATAATTACAATACATAAAAATATCTACATCCGGAATTATGCTGAATAAACTCTTGGAGAAGTTATTTTTATATGTCACTTGATGAACTAACTACTCTAATAGTAGACAAGTTTTCCAACCCTACTCCTCTTTCTGTTATGCCTCTTAAGCCATGTGTTGGAAAAATGAAGGCCATATTCATCAGGGCACACAGAACTGGTTTCCATCAGCTAATATTTATTGGTATAAAATACTGGTATGAGTCTCTTTAAGGAGGCAATGAAATATTAAAATTTACCTTTTCAACAAAAGATTCTTTATGAAATCAGACAGCTCCTACTGCTTCCTAGCCCTCCTCAGTTCTGATTTTACAATTTGAGTTCTGCTTACAACCAGGATGGGATCTCACGACTCCATTATAATACCACATTTTAATGTTGGAATAAAGAAAAATGATTAACTTTGATGTGATCAAAATATCTATCCCTTTGAAAGCAGAAATACAAAGAAAAAGTTACCTATTAACCAACTCTAAATTAGCACTCACATAAAGTCTTACTTCGATTGATCGCAGAGGTTACCATTCAGCATTATTAAATTATGCCTGAAGATAAATTAGACCAGATGTTATTCTCTTGTATTTGCTCAACTACAGACAGCAGACATTAGGCTCAGAAGGAATCAGTCCTCTTAATGCAAGCTTTCTGTAGAAAAATTTGAGAGTGCTGCAAATTACCCTTGCAGTTTTAAGAGAACTATGTATGTCATATGGTATAGAGAACAACTCAGAAGGTGACAAACCTCTGGATTATCTGTATGACCTCTGATGCTGAGAGTATATAAAGATAAAACATAACTGACGTACACTATGGGAAATTAAAACTAAGAAGGTGCAAATCTGTTTTGTGACCCTCTCAATTTAGCGGCAGCCTAACTCACAATTATTATAATTAAGTGGCTCTACCCTTTGTAAAGGACAAAATGTTGTAAATAAGGAAATCAGTGTAAAAAATTGACATTTTCACCAGATAAACTATGTCAGAGATGTTTTAAAATAGATAACGAAGTAACATGTCAGAGATAGTGCATTTAAAACATCATCCCCATTTGAGGGAAGAATTGGTGGAAAATTCCAGGAATCATCCTGGTCTAGGGTTTGGGGGTGTGGCACAGTGCAGACACGGGTGACTCTGTGAGCTGAAGAGCTGGGCAACATTGCTCATCTGGTTTAGGACGCCTATGGCCAACACATTTCTCGTGGTATGAAAGTCTACAGGCTTTTGAGATAGTTCTTTTCCAATATTTCCCTGTTCCTATAACAATGGGGGGATCTCAATAGAGAGACTGTATCTAGAGAAGAGGATAGTGGTAGGACAGAGTCTGAGGGTGATCAGGGACTCAGTGGACAGAAATATGCAGGGTACCTGTGAGAAATCGACTGGGAGATAATCCATTAGGAAAGGTGCTTCTTGATCACTACTCCCCTAAGCTAAGGAGGGGTGGGTTAAAAAGAAAAGGAAGAGAAGAAAGCAGCATTATAACAGCACCAGTTTTGCTCTGAGTAGTGTAACAACCTGGCCCTGCGCTGTCAATGAAACACAATTTGTTTCAACTTGGAAACTTTAATGTATTTAAAACATCAGGCGCCCATTTCCTATCTCTTCAATTATGTTGGAATTCAATACTGTTAACCATAGTTGTTCTATTCTGTCAGGTTAGAAACTGTTCCTCAGAAGACAAATGGGAGGAAAAACAATTGTTTGATGAGGCAAAAACACAAACCGAATTATCTAATATGGAATACAGAAGAATTTTCACAGTAATAACAATTTTCTTTTGTTTACACATTCAAAGTGCCAAAGCACAATTCTGCAGAGTAAGATTTTATAAAGCAATTTAATGCAGAAGAAAGAAAAGGGGACTTGACCTAATTCACCTCTTAAGCACAGAAGTATATATTCAGTGTCTCCTAAACAAAGGTAAAAGGTGCCTGAAATAAAAACACCGGCTTTGCTCTAAGGACTGTCTCCACCAGGAAAGGAAGGGTTATGCAACAGTGAGCACCAACCCCTAAATCTCAATGGACTAAAACAAATACTTATTGCTCACTCACATCTAGATGACTAACCAAAAATCAAATTAGCTAGAATTCCACCAATTTGGTGATGAACACAGCCAGCAAAGAAGTCAGCTGAGTCAGACACTAACTATAAAATGTTTCAAACCAGGGGTAACAAAATAAGTTACATAGTCATACCTAACTTCAAGAGAGAAAAGAAGAGCAATCCCACCACAGGTCTCTAAGGAGGAAAAATGAAAAGAATTGTGCACCAGCTTACCGATTAAAAAACTCACCCATGTATTAAAAACAGAAATATTTTAAACTTTTCCTTTTTTCCTTTGTACATGCTATTATTCATCAACATAAAAATGTACACACAAACACATGGAAAAATTATAGCAAAACACTGTTTCATTAAAGTTGTACTGTTGGTTTCTCCATCATTCATGTTTCTGGATGGTAGCTTTCATGTTCTCAAAATCACTCTCTGTACTAAAACTGCTGACTACTATCCCTTAGCATTGAGAGGATTAAGAGATAACATTTCATGAAAAGATGTCGTAGGTGGAGTTAACTAAAAGAAAGGGCTTCATTCTCTACTAAAGCTTTTAAGAAATAAAAACTGTGTTTAACTTTCACGAATGCATTTCTAACTATGAAACTGAGCTCAGTGAATGGAAAATTCTGAAAACCAAAAACTAGAGTCATTCGAAGATTAAAAAGGAAATGTAATATCTGTATTTTCCCATTTATTTTTTTGCTTTTCCTATTGACAGGCCATCTATCCCTATTTAGTTCCTGAAACATGGTTGGTAATGATAGTATTAGCATAGGCAGACATAAAAATTGGAAGGTTGAGAATAAGGAGATAGCATTTTTGTTTATGTTGAATAGCATATTTTTTTCATTTAAAGATGCTAATGGACCTGGACTAAATGCTTTTGTCTCTTTATACACAGTGTACAACTCTGCCTAGAACAGAGGAGCATGAATAAACATTGATCCTCAGAACATCCACCTTCTTCTGAGTTGAAAAGACACAGGTAAATTTTCACGAAGCTGAGTGAAAGACTTTGAAAGAGACAGAAACTTTCTGAAGTATCACATCTCATTTACTTGGGATCTACAAGAAGAGAAATGTTACAGGACATCACAGTACTGACACTGTGAGTCCACAGACTTCGACAGAAATAAGGTATCATTCTCTGTCTGATTCATCTGACTTTATCTCAGTGCTCAGAGGAAGGAATGATGGTTCACTCCAGAGAGAAGAAAGGCCGGTTCACTTTGGCTAAGTCAAACTGTTAAGAGTGATGATCAACCCAGGGAAGGAATTTGGCATTTTAGCAGAGAAAATATATTTACTTGCATCCCAAAAAGTATCTGGAAACGTCATGCAGAAATATCTATTTTAGGATGTTAAGACCTAAATAGATCCGATCCTGAATGTGTTATAAATATTATGTAATGATCATTCATAGTGTTACAGAAATATAATACAGGGACCATTCATACAGAACGCTGATGAAACTAATCTGTGCAGGGAAACCAGAACAGAAACCATCCATGGAAACTTATAGCTTCTAAATCAAGAAAGTAGGTTTCAGGGGAAATATCCAAACAAATATTTAGGATATTTTCAATGGCTGCCGTGGCTTTCATATATTTTTAGTGTAAAATAAATATCACAAAGTAACACCAAAAATAATGAGAAAGTGCCTATATGAGAACACTTAGGTTCAGAACACTGAAGTCAGGCAGACATAAGTTTTAATCATTCCTCTCCCACTTACTACCTGAGCAATTTAACTCACCCTATGTGTAGCAAAGGCACTGACTTCTATAATTTGTTTTCCAAGCACATTTTCCATTCGCCTTTTATTGGCACTTTTATGTAGTTTTCTTTTGTTCCACGTGATCCTTGTGAGTCAGTCAATCATATTACCTGATCCTGGCCGTTGTTGTTCATGTAGAAAAAGGTGTATCAGCCAGGCAAGGACGAAGGGTAGTATTTCCCAGGGTTGGCATTTTTAAAATGACAGAGACTGAGAGGGGAAAAAGACAGAAAGGAAGAAAAACAGATTGATTGAGATTGATTTGCTTTATGCTGGTGCAGCTAAGCTTTGAGGACACAGGTCTGTAATGCTTTGACCACCTTATCTTCTCCAAGATTTGGGTAGAACCCTGTCCACTGTATGAAGCCACAAAGAAAATAAGGACAACAGGTAGAAAAAAGACATGTATCTTGCTGACATTCTCTCATCTCTATATCTTCTTAAAATTGAAGTCTATTCTTGGATTTCTCAGATCTCAGTCTTTCTCTTTAAACTCATTTGAGTTGAATTTGTTACATTGCGATTCAGAAATATTCAACTAACAGCCCTTCTAAATCTTAAATTTTTCATTGAAAATGCAGATGATACTATAAAGTGTGCCCTACGTCAGCTCACAGGATCAATTGTTACAATGCACATAATAGGTTTCTCTCTGTGTCAGGCATATAAAGACCCCCGCCCCCGTAAAATCTGTTTCTATTAGCTATCGCTATTGAAAAAGACACTAGTGTTACTCTAACAAATACGTGAAGTAATCAATATATAAGAAAAAATTTAGTATGGCTCCCAGTTTTAGAGGCTTCCTTCTATGGTTGGTTGCCCCTCTACATTAGGGTCTGTGGAAAAGTAACACTTCACATCAGGGTGCTCATGGCAGAAGAATCCATTAACTTTATGGGCATGAACAAAGAAAGGAGAAGAAGTCAGTGCCCCACCGTTTCTTTAAGAGCCCACCTGCAATGACCCGAGGCCTCCCTATAGGCCTCATCTCCTCACAGTTCCACCACCAGCTAGGAGCTGAGCTTTCAGCCCCTGGATGTCTGGGACACACACCAGTTCCTAAATACAGCACTGAATTTTGGGGAAAATATTTTATGATAATTCATAGGCTAATAACATTTCACCATTCTTTTTTTTTTTTTTTTTTTTGGTACCGGGGATCAAACCCAGCTCTTTTGTGCTTGTTTGCAAGGAAGGTGGCAGAACCACTGAGCTAAATCCCCGGCCCCTACATTTCACCATTCTGTTAGAGCCCCATGCTTTCAAAGGGAGACTGCAGCACCCAGTTTATGAATATTTTACTTATATGTACAAAAAGCAATAATTACTTTGCAAATATTTCCAATCTGTTTTGTAACCAATATACTAGATAATTATTTTGGTTTGAAGTCATAGTGAGCTTTTATAAACCAGCATTTTGCCTTATTAACATCAAATACATAAGATTAATTGTAAATAATGAGGTTTTTTTTTTAATTAAGTTTACTGGTACATTTTAGGTATACAGTAGAGTTACATTCATCATTGGGATCTTGTACCTTTACATGACAGGTCTGCTTTATTTTTCCCCATCCCCCAGCCCTCTCTTCACCCCACCACGCTTCCCTCTTTACAAAGAATTTGTTCCCATGTTTTTCCTTTTCTCATATTTTTCCTTCTTCCTTCTTACCTTTCCCCTACCCCTCCTACTTCCTCTACTCCTACAGCACACAATTTTCAATTTATAGAGGAGAATCTCATTTGGGCTGCCAGGATTATTTTCTTTTTTTCAGTTAATTGCCCAAAGGTCAAGGTCCAGAACTTATTTCATTCACATAGTACTAACCTATTAATGACAGGAAATGAGTATTTTTAGGGCTATTAATTATACTCATTATCCCCATGAAATAATAGGGGCCACTACTGGACTGAAAGCAGACATATATTTTCAAAATTCATAAATTCTCAACTGATTCTTAGAAAATTTTATCTCTACACTGCACAGTAGCATTGACATTTAGAAATAAATCAAGAAGACATAAGTTATATGGAGAAACCTTTCCCCATTTATACAGAAAATTTGTCAAAAATTTTAAAGACTTGGCTCTATCATCTTCTCTGAAAAATCTTCTTGGGCTTATTCTCTTAACTATAGTCAAAACCAACTCGGGCAGTGTAACATCACTCAAGAAAAACTAGAAGCAAGAAAGCAAACAGAAAATTATACTATGTTGGACAACTCCAAAGTGCTTTGGGAGCCTAGAAAAGTTTCTCAAAGGAACCTGAAATCTGAAGAAAGCCTAATAATTTACTTGTTAAAAGAAGAGAAGGGGTGGCAAGACAGGATTTTACAAAGAAAATGAACGTGTACAAAGTCAAGGCAAAATACTGAGAACAAGATAAATTCAAAGATCCAACAGCACTTTAACAGTTTAGGAGTTTGGAATATCAGCAGCAGGAGAATAAACAATGAGACCAGAGAAGTATGCAGAAGGCAGATATGAAGGTTTGCAATATAAGGGAACTGTCCGCTTGAAATAATGGAAAGCTATTAAAAGATGTATTCAGATATGCACACCTATGTTCATAGCAGCACAGTTTGTAATAGCTAAAACTTGGAAACAGCCCATTTGCCCCTCATTTGGGAGACTGGATAAAGAAGATGTGTTTTTTCTATAAAATGGAATACTACTCGGCCATAAAGAATGAGAAATTAGAGTCATTCATAAGAAAATGGATGCATATTGAGGATATACTCAAATGAAATAAATAAGTCACACATGTATAAATACCAAATAATTTCTCTGGTGTGAAAAATTATAATGGCACATAAGATCCTAATGGTATACTTGACAATGTGAAATAGGAAGAAAAGGGCTAAAGGTGTAGGGGAAGTGGGACTGGTAGGGGAAATGAAATAATGGGAAAGAAAAAAAGTGAGAAATTACAAAATGGAAATAAAGTATTTCTAAATAGAGAAAGGAGGAGGGGTAAAGGGAGGGCAGGGGTAAGGGGAAAAAATGAGCACCGAGACCTGTCATGTAAGGGTACAACAAGATCCCAATGATGAATTGAATGTAACTGTACTATATACCTAGAATGTACCAATAAACTCAATGAGAAAAAAAAAGATGTATTCAGATGTGGGACAATCTCCATAAGCATCTCTAGATGATTATCTATGTTTTCCCTTGTATCCAGTTAGGCTATGGATCTACTCAGTAGAGTTCTCCTCCACTCTGGTTTCTGGATAGTGTGACCCCTGTGTGGGGCACCAACTGGAGCTCAGTGAATAGAGGCATGGAGCAGTCATGATATCGATGTCTGTGGTTCCTCCTTGCAGGAAAGAAGACTATCCACGACCTGAGGTCACGGTTCTTGTCAGGCAGCCTTTTCTTACTGTATTAGTCAACCTCCGGTCATTTACCACTCTATTCTTCTTAACCTTTCAAGTCTAATGACTGTAACAACTTCCTGATGTTTTTATCCCTAATTTGTCTTACTATTCCTTGTTCTTTTCTTTGACTGCCCTAACTTTCTCAATTGCTCCTTTAAGACAATGCCATTTGTTCAGAACAGAGACTAAGTTGGACTCAAGGGAGTTACTATGAACCACTTTTACTTTTAAATAAGTGGTTACAGATGCTCAGAATGATTCTTAGTAATGACCAGTCTAGAGTCACTGAAACAAGTTACAAATTAGTTACAGCAATTTTACAGGAACAGATCGCCAGAAAGTAATAACTGGCAACTCATAATGTCACACACTGTATTAAACAAACATATTTATGCACATTATCTACTTAAATGTTCCAAACACTCTTTAAGGTAGATATTATTCTTTGTTTAACAGTGCAACTAAAATTGAGAGATGTAAAATAACTTGCCCAAGGTCAAACACAGAGCAAGTAGCAGAATTTGTATTCAAACACAAATCTGCTACTTTTAGACCTATAATTAATCTGAACTGTCTTCCTAATCCATATACCTGAATTAAGGTAAATGAAACAGAAGCAGATATGTGTAGGATTTAGAGATAAGGATTTGAAGAGTTGAAGAAAGGGAAATAAAACTGATGAAATTCAGCGTTATACTAAGAAAAGGAAAAATACAAGATGGGATAAATGATAAAAAGTAGGTGTGCAGTTAGTACAACTGTAACACTGGGGATGACTTTCACAGAGAGATGTAAGAAAGGGGAACAGAATTGCTGAGAATAGGTGGTGGTGATGAGGCCAATATGTCAACTTTAATTTTTCGGACTTTACTGTTGCTATGAAAATGAAACTGGAGATGTTTGCACTACAGGGACTGCAGGGAGTGGAGGTCAGATATAACTTCTCATTACTCTCTAGCAGCTAAGAAACAGAACTGGGGCCTCAAGTAGGCCAGTTAGATGCTTCTGCCTGTGAATCTGAATCATGACACAGGATGCAAAGATAGTAGATTACGATACAGTCATGATCAGCTGGCAGCAGTCTAGAGTCCCCTAAGCGCAAGGAGTCCCAGCAGTAGTGATCAAGAAGGAACTAGGGTGGGGCTTTAGCTCAGTGGTTCTACCGCCTGCCTTGCAAGTGCAAGGATCTGAGTTCTATCCCCAGTACAAACAAAAAAGAGAAATGAGAAAGTATTTGAAAATGAATGAAAATGAAAGCCTATCACATCCAAATTTGTTAGGGCTTGGGATTTAGCTCAGTGGCACCACTGCCTGCTTTGCAAGAAGTAACCATGAGAAGCAAAATCCAAACTAATGTAGAACACATTCTGTGTTTTTTGGGCCCAGACTGTATGGATTCTTGACTGATTTCCAAGCTTGATTCTCCAAATCGTACCTGATGGTTATATGAACCACTTTATAACCTTTCGCCCTGCTTGTTTGCCTTTGATTTTATGAGTTGTTTTTTGTTGTTCATGGCACATAATCCTGTCTGATAATCCTGTATCTAGTTCAGAATTAAAGAAGTTCTTTTCCCATTGTTTTTACAGAGTTTATAATCCAAAACCTAGAGATGCTGGATTTAAAGGACTCTTAGAAGATTTCAAAGAATTCATGATCTGGTAAGCATACAATTCAATAAATAAGTTCTAAAAACATGATCTACATTGTAAACCATAAAACAATTAAATATGCTGTAAATATCAAGTAGAATAAAAACAAACCAGCCAGCAAGATCTTGTACAACTGTGATGAAAAGAAAAGGATATATACCAACTGTGACACAGTAAAAAGCATATCTCTCCTAAGAATCACAATTAAACTCAAGTAAAGCAGGTGTCACATTCATTGATACATGGACATAATGAAAAAAACATGTCTAATATACTGAGGATAGTTAAATCAAACTTTTATAACCAGCTAAATTATCATTCAAAGGTAAAAATATGGGACTTTGATTTTTTCTGTGCAAAGTTTCTTTACTTTTCAAAATGAAAAATTTGTTGAGTTTTGTAGAGGATTGTTTTTGCATTGTAATTTACATATTTTGGGACTAATGTTTAATAAAACCCTGTTTTTGACCACTTTTGACTCAATTTATAAGAGTAGGAATAATTCATGTGAGGATATAGATAATATAAAAAGGATATAACTATTCACAATTTTGTAATTCTTATAAATCATGGTGGTGTATACCTCAAAATTAAAACATACAAAAACTAAGGGCTTAGACCCAAAGGCTTTCAAACACACACACACACAAAATAGAATTTTAAGAATGTGTTAAAAGAGACAATTTAAGAAGGGGAGATATAGCACATTAAGTTAAGCACAGAACTTGATAATCATAATATCATAACATTACATTTTTAAAAGATGTTTTTGGTATTGAAAGGCTCTTCATGGCTGCTGATTTTCAGCTGGTAATCACAAAGGTTTTTAAGCAGAACAAAGGCAGACAAAGATGTGTTCTAGAAAGATAACATACAGCTTTACTAAATTATGATTTGGAAAAAAGATTATAGACAAAAATTATTTGGAAGGTCAGAACCATCTAATATATAATGAATGAAAAGAGAAGCTGAAGGTGAGCTAAATGTAGAAGACGGAACTAACCACTCTTCTAGGACTCTGCGTTTAGGTACCCATGGGATGTTGTTACATTCTCTGTGTGCCCAATACATGGCATATGGCAAGTGTTCAATAAATATTTAAATGAACTGGCTAAATTTCAATTGAAATATCCATCCCACCTAGATATAAGCAATAGAAATGAATATGAATCTGAAATTCAGGAAGAATATCAGGGCTGGCATCCTCCACATGGAAGAACTGTCACCGGGGTGGTGAGACTGTTAGGGGGCAAGAAGAATAAAAGAAGAGACAGGTAAACCTGACTGAGGACAGCATTAAGGGGTCAACAGAGAGAAGAAGATGGACAGAAAGAATAAGAAGACTGATGGAGAAAGAAGAAGAAGAATATTTAAAAAGTTTGATTATAAAATGTAATCGAGGGCCGGGGATTTAGCTCAGTGGTGCTGCTGCCTGCCTCCCAAGCACAGAGTCCCAGATTCAATCCCCAGTATCAAATAAATACATACATACATACACACACGTAACTGAATAATAGTATTGCCTTAAAAGAGTGAAACAAGAAATGAAAAGAATTTAGGAAAGACATAAATACAAGTCATGGTTACAAGGTTATGAAGCTATTGTAACACTTTTTTAAAAGAAAGGCAATTTTCTTTTAAAACTTTTCAAAGTAAGAGTTCATCTGTGTTTGAAGGGATGGTACTGAGGTGGATGGAGGGTCATAAAGAATCCCAATGGGCCAGACAGCAATGTCATTCTCTGGCTATGCCAAAAACATTTTGATCTGTGTACAAATTACATATGCAGTCATTTAATTTTGACATTAACAAGCTAAAGAATGAACAATAGCTTCCCTATATCATGACTCCCTGTGACTGAACTGAAAAACAAGCCTGAGGATCCAAACTCAATTTTCAACCCTTTGAAATGATTAAAATATATTCTGATGTATGTTAGTTAATGAAATCTTAGGAGTCCCATCTGCCTTGTGACAAAGGTGAACAAGTTCCATCCTGTTCTTTTCTCTAAGTCATTGATAACTATGATTTATTACTGATCTTCAGATTAATTCAGAAATCAACTGCTGCGTAATAGTGTTGCTTAAAAAATATGAACTACTTGCCAAAAACTAGTAAATGTGCGATACTTTAATTTCATAATCAACTTTTCCCCAAACTAATTTATGCTAAATTTATGCAAAATAAACTCATGATAAATAATTATATCATAAATTAGGTTTAGATGTGTATATATTTAGAAAAATCTGCAAATTGTTAAGCTTGTCCACAAAGTATAAATTACATTGCCTTGGAGAATTCTTTAGGTTCTAAAAGTTCCACCAAAGCTAAGGTCCTGGATGTCACTTAAGTTATATATTTCAGCTATTAAAGTCAGTGTTCTGACAAGCCCTTTGGCTCTAACCCCAGGGCACACATTTGCCTTAAACTGGCATAAGAATGTGTCAGAAGGCTATATGTCAATCAACCAGGAGAAGTGCCTATTCCAGATTTAGTGTTGTCAGTTGCTGACATTAAAACCAGCAACAGTTAATTGTTACCCCTTCAAGTGGAAATACTGAGGGAAGAGGAGAGGAAGGTGTCTAAGTTCAGGCCTATAAAGCTGTTAATTGCCACCCTTTTATGTAGATTTGTTTAATAATGAAAACAATGTGGCTAATCATATAATGTTTCTATTTGTTCCCCAAGGGCTCTTCAGGGAAAGTTTCAGGCAGGGCTAGAATTCCGCAGCTACCAACTGTGCAAGGACAAAGGCAGAACAATCAAGGCACTCAGTGCTGGCAAATAGCTGAAAGTGGTTCCCCACAGATGCCTCTCTTCCAGGCCCCGATCTGGAAGGAGACAGAGCTACAAGCACAAGCTTTGCAGGGATATAAAATGAGAAGGGCAATAACTTCATGCAGAATTTCGATACAGGAAGAGAAAGGTTGAAAGGCAGAGGGGAGAGAGTAGAGGAGGGAGAGAGAGAACAGGAGTGTAGTGAGAAGGAAAAGAAAATATATCAACCTAAAATGCTGAAAATAAGTCTGATATAGGCTTGGATCCTTTTATTAACAAGCAGCAAACCAGTTAAATTTGTCAGTTAAAATGTCTATATTAATAAAAATAAAAAGGAGAGGGAGGGAGAGAGAGGGAGAGCGAGAAGGAAAGGAGAAGAAGAGGGGGGAAGGAAGGAGGGACCCAGAGGAAAGGAAGGGGATAAAGGGGAGAAGAAGGAGAAATTGCCAGACCCTGCTCTTGAGGGACTTTGTGATGAGAGGTGTCCTGAAAGCACTCTACAGGGATAATCCCAGCTACCTACTAATTTCAAGAGGATTTTAGGGAACAAATGGAGCATTCTGTCTGTCTTCTACAAATGTATAATATTTATGGATTTTTGCTTTGCCTCATTTGGTAAAGGACATAGGACAGACTGAAGTTGTATTAATTTTTGTGGACACTCTTTGGTGCCAATTAAAGGGGGCATGCAGAGATCCTCCGGAAAACTGGTACACCTAACTGTATAAACACATATATTATAGAGGATATGAATTCTCTTTTGTGCTTTTATGTGCATGGGGCAGGTGGGGTGTTTTTAATTCTCCTACTACAACCATTTACTCCACCAGCTCCACACTATTATTCAGCTGCCCTCCAATCTGACCACAATTTAGTTTTCAATTGTCTCCCACTGTCTATTCCTTCCAGTCTCCTGATATTTCTAGACTTACCTGTTTATTGCCTCCTAAACTTAACCTCTTGCCTGACACTGTTCTTTTGCCCAGGCGGTTCTCTCTTCTCACAATGCTCACATCTCATCATCTGTTTAAACTTAATCTTATTTCAATGGCAAACTCAGTTTCATCTAATCCATTAAGTACTCCACAATCTCCACACACCACATAGCTTCTCCCTTCTGTAAATGTGTAAACCAGCACCTGCTTGATCATTCACGTGTCACCTACAGATGGTGCCTTCTCAGTTGTCCTCCACTAGTTCCTGCTCTTCTACTGAACTTTACAGACCTTGAGGATATACCTTTGGATCTTCTCCAGCGAATGAACCAAAGATATAGGACCCTACAAAATGTTTAGGGATGATACCTCACATTTCCAATACAGCTCAGTGAAGTTTAACAAGCTCTAATTTCTTTACTGTTTATCTTTCCTTGGTAAAATTCTTTTACAGGTATAACTAACTGCAAGTCTAAAGCCCATAGCATATCAATAAAAAAGTCCATTTCTGACAGGCAAGAAATATCTACTACCAAAAAATTTCTCAAAGAAGATAATGACTTAAAAAAATATTCACTGCTTAAAATTAACTTTTCTGCCATTAGGGAAAAATATTAACAACTTAAACACTAGGCCTAAGTTCACATAGCTCATAATTTAAAATATTCTTTCCAAATCTGAAACTCATTTTCTTTCTAAACAGACACAGAAATCATCAAATTTTTTTCTATCTTTCCGATTGCAAAATGGAAATTTAGCTCCATATTTGAAAGAAGAGATGATGAAATCTAGACATAAAGAGATGATGCTAAGTGTGGACCCGAGAAAATAGCTGAATCAAACCAAGTTAAAATTTAGTAATTGAAAACAAAACTCCATTTGCAGAAATAGATTAACCAAGCTCATGAGCCAATAAGGATTTTCATAATTATGCTCATGTGCACCTTTAGGGTGACCTCAAATCACCAGTCAAAACTGCCTTTACTGTTAAAGAGAACTGATCATAACCTAAATGTAAGCACAACCAGCGTAATGAGAAATTGCCAAAAGCAATTCCAACACATTCCTCCATCTCTGTGCTTATCATTCCTGAGAAATTATATTTAGGTCTGAAATACAAAGGCAAAAGGCACAGCAAACAGTACTCAAATAATTATGAACTGTTTTCTATTTTAACAACTACAGTATCTTTTAGCTTTATTTTACAGAGAACCTAATAGTTTGTGTGGAATGTAATCCATGATGCAAAAGAATCTTCACTGATTTGCTTTAAGAACCCCTACTTACTTTTTAATA